ATCCATGCAATCAATTCGTTCTCCTCCCACTCAATTTCCCCGTCGCGATCCACCGCCGTCTGCGTGACCTGTCGTCAGACACCGCTCCGAATTTGCGCCCAGCCAGATGTCCCACAGGCCCAATCGTCGCCAATTGACCCTGGCGAGCGACGCCTGGCCACGGCCTCCCCGAGACCTCTTGACGAACTGGTCCAACAAAAGTCCCAGTTGTCGACCGTGGTTCGACGAGTCGTGGAGCCATCGCGGCTCCCGATCGGCGAATGAGCATCGGCGCCGGCGAGATGTCCTAGGATTGCTGCGCCGCATAACATGTGAGGGGGCGGCGGCGGAATCTGCCGAGGCCACGTGCCAAGGATCGCAGTAGATCTGGCGACCGGACAGCGATCGGGGTAGAGACGACGAGGGTCGGCGGTCGCTAGTTTAGAGTACTCGCTACGTAGTGCCCCACCATCGACTTTACTCTAACGACAGACAGTGCCAATGTCGCAAGATGGCATGCTTTCCAGCTTCCGTTTTCGCGCTGCCCAGCCCGTCAATCGCCGCGCGCTGATGGCCTGCCATCTGCGCCTACGCGGTTGCGGCAAAAGGCTCCTGCTGGCGTTTCACCCGAAATTCCAGACATTCTGCCAACGACGATCTATCGCCGGCCATTGGACTCGGTCCCGTCCAGTGACAGTCCACGACGACGCCCGTCAGTCTCGACGTTGATCGGCCTGCCACATGTGCCGTCGCTAGCGTCGCCGGTGTTATAGCACTTACGCTGTGGCTTCGGCAGTGCTTATGGGGCGGACAAGCACAATAAGCTTTCGGTCGCTTCGACAACACCCCCTGCAAGCTTTCGAGATGCTACTCTCGCAGGCGAGACGGCGCCATCACCACCACCTTCTCCAATGGCGTGCGCCGGATAGTGCTGTGGTCCTCGGGACCCCGGTCGAGGGTGTGATCATCAGTAGCGTTGGCAAACGCCGGCTGCCCTCCCGAGTCAATGCCTCCGAGGTCTGGATCGCTGGTTGCGGATGTTTCAGCACGGTAATGCAAATGCGCGCTCCCGCCACAGGCATTGAGACATTCCAGCTTCTCGTTTCGGAAGCGCGATAAGAGAGGAAGGCGACTTCGCAATGGCTCTCAATTTAGCTTGGGTCCAGTTATCGGTCAGATCTTCTCGGCCAAGACACCTCCCCCTAAATTGACACCAATTCAGCCGTGCGACCGGGTATTTGGCGGTCATGACGCTCCAAGAACCAGACTGACCTCCCTTATCGGCTCACATTCCAAACGTGGGGTGGCAAGACATGTCAAGCAGCAGCATGCGGCCGAGGAGCTATCACTGTACCTGAGTGCATTGATATACTTGCTCAACCCACCCGGGCGGAGCGCTTTCCCTCTCCTTGCCCGACCAGTACAAAGACGCCTGTGCTAGTTCACCGCGTCAAAAGCTGCGACTCGTCCACAGAGGGGCTTTTGCTTGCTCGCTCTTTCTCAAGCAGACATGTCTGGAACAGTCGAGAAGTCGCCCGGTTCGTCCGACTCGGCCGGAGGCGTCCTAGGGGACGACAAGAAGTCGGTATGCGGTGACAGTCTTACATCGAGATGGCGGGCGCTAACATTGGGTAGCCCCTTATTCTTTCGTTCGAGGAGCGTGGGATTGGTGAAGTCACCGATGTCCTCAACGCTACCGAGAAGGACTTGGCCGAGGCCAACGAGATCGCCGGAAGGTTTACTCTGGAGGATGCTCGGCGGGTACGTGTTGCCCGATCCCCAGGACAGGACCTTTTTAACCTTCAGACAGATCATGCAGCAGGTTCACAAACAGCATGCTCGCGATCCTAACTTTCCCATCACTATCATCGACAAGATCGAGGACTTTTTGGGTGTGTCTCCTTGTCCCAATGTGCCGGAAAGGGCGCGTATCTAATGCGGAGGACAGGCAACGATGACATCTTTGAGCACCCGGAGAACTACCAGGAGATCATCCAAGAGATGAAGATCGAGGCGGCCCTGATCACTAACAACTCTCCATATGCTGAGGTGCGCTCGGTCGTCGATAACCATGACGACCCAACGCTGCCTGTGTCCACCATCCGCGCGTGGGCAATGGGCATCTTCTTCGCCTGCTGCATCTCATTCATCAACTCGTTCTTCGACGTCCGTCTGCCGAGCATCTACGTCACGACCACGGTTCCCCAGCTCCTGGCTTACCCCTTGGGCAAGTTCCTCGAAAGAGTCCTGCCTGATGTCGGCTTCACCATGTTTGGAGTCCGCCACAGCCTGAACCCAGGCCCATTCAACAAGAAGGAACATATGCTGATCACCATCATGTCAAACGTCGCCAAGAGCACCCCGTACACCAATTACATCGTCTGGATCCAGTATCTCCCCACGTACTTCGACCAGCCGTGGGCCATCAGCATTGGCTACCAGCTCCTGATCGCGCTCTCGACCAATTTTATTGGTTACGGTCTCGCTGGCTTGTGCCGTCGCTTCTTGGTGTATCCCGCCTACTGCGTGTGGCCCTCGTCTCTGGTGACCATTGCTCTGAACTCAGCCTTCCACGACCAAGCCAGCGAGGCTGCCGTCGTTGCCGGCCCCTTCAACACGCTCTGGAGATCTACTCGTCTCAAGTTCTTCATGTGGACTTTTGTCGCCATGTTTGCGTATTTCTGGCTGCCCAACTATCTCTTCGCGGCTCTGAGTTACTTCAGCTGGATTACCTGGATCGCGCCGAACAACCCGGATCTCGCTACGATTACAGGAGGTCAGTCCGGTCTCGGGTTGAATCCCATCCCGACCTTTGACTGGAATATTATCACTTTCAATGTCGATCCCCTGATGGTTCCCTTCTTTTCGACCTTCAACTACTTCCTCGGCATGTTCGTCTCCATGTTCGTCATCATCATCTTCTACTACACCAACGCCTTCGAGAGCGGCTATCTCCCGGTCAACTCGAACAAGCCGTTTGACCACTTTGGCGAGCGCTACAAGGTGAAGTCGATTATTGACGAGTTCGGAATCTTCGATGCCGAGAAGTACAAGGCCTATTCGCCCCCTTTCCTGTCGGCCGGTAACATTGTCGTGTACCTCTTTTTCTTCGCCATGTATTCTGCCACGGTCACGTACGGCATCCTCTACCACCGCCACGAGATCATGATGGGTCTCCGCGACCTGTGGCAGGGCATCAAGACGCGAAGGAGCGGCGATAACACGCAGAAGAGCGACCTGGATGTGCACAACCGACTGATGAAGGCGTACAAGGAAGTTCCCGAGTGGTGGTACATGATCTGCCTGGCCATCGCCCTCGCCGTCGGCATGGTTGGCATTGCTTGCTGGCCGACCAACACCACGCCCGCTGTCGTCCTCTACGGTATCGTGCTCTGCCTCGTCTTCGTCGTCCCGATCGGCATCATCAACGCCATGACGGGTGTGCAGGTGACGCTGAACGTTCTCGCCGAGTTCATCGGTGGTGTCTGGGTCGAAGGAAACGCGATTGCCATGTGCTTCTTCAAGTCGTATGGCTATGTGACTTGCGCGCACGCTCTGTCCTTCAGTAACGACCTCAAGCTTGCCCACTACCTCAAGATCGCGCCGCGCTTCACCTTCTGGGCCCAGATGGTGCCGACGCTCATCTCGACCTTCATCAGCATCGGTGTCCTGCAGTACCAGGTGCACATCAAGGACATTTGCACGTCAACTGCGCCATTCCGCTTTACGTGCCCGGGTGTGAACACATTCTTCACGGCTGCCGTCTTCTGGGGCACCGTCGGGCCGCGCAAGATCTGGGGTGTTGGTGGCCAGTATGCCTTGACGCTTGTTGGCTTCCCGCTCGGTGTTATTCTGGTGGTTGGCTTCTACCTCCTGAGCTTGAAGTGGCCCAAGAACGCCATCATCCGCAACGCGCACCCAGTCGTCATGATGGGCGGAGCCCTCTCGTGGGCGCCCTATAACCTTGCGTACATGTGGCCTGCCGTCCCCGTGGCGGCGGTCTCCTGGCTGTGGCTCAAGAAGCGGTTCCTCGGGCTTTGGTCCAAGGTAAGAATTATGATTTCTTGCAGTCGAATGCAGACTAACAGACGAAACAGTACAACTTTGTCCTGTCGGCCTCTTGGTCGTGTGCCATCGCCATCTCGGGTATTGTTATCTTCTTCGCCCTGCAGGTGTCGGACATTGAGGTGGACTGGTGGGGCAACAGCGTGCTCAATGATGGGTGCGACGGCGAGGGCGGCTGCCCGCGTCTGGTTCTTAACGATGGAGACTATTTTGGGCCTCGTCTTGGCGAGTTTTCGTAGGAGTTTTGGGTTTGGGGCTTGAGCGGTTTATATACCAAGGTTCATTCGTTTGGGTTAGCGGAGTTGTATGTTTATGAGCGATCTTTGCGACCTGTCTTATGATTGGGTTTCCCTTGAACATAATATATCGTGTTAATGACCTGATCTGGGGTACAAACTGCAGATGACGAGGTGACAGTGTGAATTGAGTGTGCGTGGTGTGTTCAAGGCATCTAGATGCAGGTGAGCACATATTTTCGCGGCCCTTTACGGTCTGATATGTTTATCTCAGTACAACTAGGAAAAATAAATAGAAGGACAACAACGTAGGTTTAGTTGCAGACAAGAATCCAAGCGTCATGCAGTTGCACCTAGCGTAGTTGTTGACAACCGGTGAGCGCAAACCCTCTACGTCGCAATCAAACGCTTTCGTTCTAGACTTTGTGTCTTTTGGTGACAGATTCCCGTGTTAATACGACTGCCGATTAGGCGTCATGTACGGGGTTTACTGCAGAGACGTAAGTGCATGTGCATGTGGAAGTGAGCAAGTTTATTAGACTAGGACTGTTGCTGCCGCTGATGACTTGGATCATCTCAGAATTGTACTTTATCTCTGCTGGCCCACTTTGGGTTTTTTCCGGCAAGCGCATCCCAGCTCAAAAATATCTAGTCTTATGTCGAGTCAGTCACCTTCACATCCTATAAAATTAACTTTATCCACATTCATTTCCAACAAAATCGGGTATGGTGTAGCGGTAACATCGCTGACTCTCAAAACTTGCGTTGAGAGAGATCCTCAGCAGCCCGGGGTTCGACTCCCCGTATCCGAGATTGCGCGCCACGATTGCGTCTTGCTACGGTGAATGCATAAACATTCACACATCTTCCGTAGTATAGTGGTCAGTATGTGAGCTTGTCATTCCATATTCTTCTGATGAAGAATAAAAAGACATCGCTCGAGACCCGGGTTCAATTCCCGGCGGGAGAGATATACTGTACAAGAAGCAATCTGGCGGGTTTCCTTTTTTTTTGTATGCTTTATGATACCTCTTTTTCGATCCGATTTCGACCTCGCACAGCGATCAGGGTTCTTCAGTCAGATTTGTGGTTGAGGTTGCTGCCTTGTGCTGTGTCGGGTAAGGCATCAGGAAGGAGGAGGATGACGTGGAACGCTCATTGGCTGCCTCGGTCACCGAAAGACTCCTCAACTTGACCTCTTTTGTCATGGCCGTGTGACGACACCCTTAACATAGCGGCAATCACAGCCGTTTCGGATGGTGACTAGTTATGTTATCGTCCTTCCCCTCCTCCCTCGTCGACTATCACAGTGGCGTCCAATGGTGAGCTGCTCCTATTCCCGGGTCTAGCTCACGGTCAGCTAGACCCGGGGATATGGATGGGACAAAACTCCAACCCCTCTCTCTCATGGGAATTTCAGTCAGTTCTTCCCCGCTCGAGAACTCTTCCCAAGTTTCTTGGGTGAAGCAAAAAAGTTACTTGGATCATCATACTTGGTAAAGGGAGGATACCTGAGGTTAGTAGACACCATGGCTCTCGGCAGCTTATTCGAGCACATCTCCACCCGGGACGCGGTCCTCACGGCCGCGTTGGTGTGGACAGTCTACCACATCGCCAAGATGGTCTACAACCGCTTCTTCCACCCGCTCGCCCACGTCCCCGGCCCGGTGCTGGGGACCATGACGGAGCTGTACCGGTTTTATCACCTCTTCATCCGGTCCGGCACGTTTTATCTTTTGTTCGAGGAGCTGCGGGATAAATATGGTTCGTTCTTTTACATCTAGACAGATATATCACAACGTTGCTGACGAGTAGGTGTCTAGGTCCCGTCATCCGCATCGCACCCAACGAAGTCCTCCTCGCAGACCCGGAGCACTACGACAAGATCTACTCAATGACGAGCAAGTTCACCAAGGACCCCGAGTTTTATTTATTGGTCGGCGCGCCCTGGACCGTGTTCAGCACCATGCCCAACGACATGCACAAGCGCAAGCGGGGCGTGCTGAACCCCTTCTTCTCGCGCCGCTCGGTCCTGGCGCAGGAGGACATCGTCCAGAGCAAGGTGGGTATCCTGTGCGACCGGCTCGAGGCCGACTCTTCCGCTCCCCAGAAAACCGCGACGGATCTTGGTACCGGGCTGCGGGCCATGGCCGTCGACGTGCTGACCGAGTACGCGTTCGGCGCGGACAACTGCTTCCGCTCGGTCGAGCGCGAGGACTTTGGGATCTGGTTCAACCAGCTCATGCTCGGCGTCACGCCGCAGATGTATCTGTTGCGCATCATGCCCTGGCTGCAAAAGCCGATGCAGGGCATGCCGCTGTGGCTGGCGAAGAAGATTAATCCGCTGGTTACGGGTCTGCTGGGTGCTATCGACAAGGCGCGCTGTCAGATTCGGCAGGTCGTGAAGGAGGTCGATGCGGGACTGATTCCGGAGAAGCCGACTATCTTTCATACCATCCTCGATCCGGACGCGGATTATTATGCAAGGGGGCTGTTGCCGGGAGGGGATAAGAGGTGGACGCCGCCTGTGGGACATTTGATCGACGAGGCGTTTGGGCTGACGGGCGCGTCGTCGGATACGACGGGGAATATTATTGCTATTTGTGTGTTTTTTGCGCTTGAGAAGGAGGGGATTAGGAGGAGGTTGTGTGATGAGCTCGAGGCGGCGTTTCCTGACGCGGACGGAACGGCTGGGAAGTTGTTGGACTATCAGACGCTGGAGAAGTTGCCGTATCTGACGGCTGTGGTGAAGGAGGGCCTGCGGAGGGGGTATGGGAATATCTATCCGCTGCCGCGCGTCGCTACCGAGGATGGGCTGGTTTTCAATGGTGTTCCGGTACCGAAGGGGGTAAGTTTAATTTTTTTTTTCATGCTAAGTTTGATGAGGCGAGTAAGCTGACTGCAACAAGTCCGTCGTGTCCATGTCGGCCTGGCTCAACCACCGCGATCCGGTCTGGTTCCCCGACGCGGACGATTTTATTCCGGAGCGGTGGCTCGACGCCGACGCCGAGGCGGTGCGCCATCGCGAGAAGCTGCTGATTCCGTTCTCCAAGGGCGCGCGCCAGTGTCTGGGCCAGCCTCTCGCCATGGCTGAGATCTATGTGGCCATCGGTACGCTTTTCCGTCGGTTTGGCAGGCGGCTCAAGACGTATGATGTCGGCGTGGAGGATTTCTTCTATCTGGACTATTTCATCCCTTTCCACAGGCCCACGGCGAGGAAGTTTCGGGTTGTGCTGGAGGACTAGTGTACCATGTGGACGGTGGTGGTCTGGGGGCTTGTGTGTGGAAACATGACTTGATAGCAGATTCGTGAATAACAGATGTTGAAAGAAGGAAAGGGGCGGATACTCGCTTGTGATGTGTTCGGCACGTTGGTATTCACACTCTCGTTCCTCGCCGGCGTGATTCCGCTCTAACTCGTGCTACTGGACGGGATGGCATGGGGCAGGTCCGCTAATATGCTATGGAAATGGCCAGCGTTTTCCGTACGAATGAGATGTTCTTGGCTTTTATCCAAACAAAACTATTTTCCGACGCCAACACTGCGTCAACGTACGAATCAGATGGTCCAGTGGTCCGTTACCATAAAGGTATGGGATCATCAAAGATATGGCGTATCAGTTAACTCCGGCGGCGACGCGGGTGCTTTGAGAAATCCACACCCCAAGCTGAAACAGAGGAAGAGCAAGGTGGGCAGTATTGTGGCTTGTAGTTGCGGTGCTTCTTCCCCGGTATTATGTCTTTCCATCCTTGATCGTATTTCCTTTCCGGTTTTGAATGGGCAGGTTCTTGGGGAGACTGAAGTGGTCCTTGATCCTGCTGCTGAGCTGGTAAACCCCTTGCCTGTCACGGGAGTGACTGGAATGTTTCAGACCTTGGAATGCCTTTCCCTGGGCGTTTTGATCGAGAAACAAAGTCGCAAAGCGGATATCCGTGCAAGCCAACTCTGTGGCAAAGCGAGCTGTCTGCAAGATGTCCCTAGTTATGAGCCCTCTGGTGGGAATTCACCTGCTGATTTGGAGTTGAAATGACCGCAGGGTGGATACTTGAGACGTGTTGTAGAAATGAACTCCTTCCGGTGTCTGCGTGGTTTCGTGTGGAAAGATAGTTGCCAGATACAGATCAAGACATAGAGCAAACGAACCCAAGCACACAAACAAAAAAGAAGCAGCAATCTCAAATCAAAACCAACAAGACCATAAGCTAGACCTCTGCACCGAGCCGGCGGCGGCATTGTTTGGGCCCTGGCCTGCATATTCCCTTGAGATTCCCTTCTTAGACTCCGATTATATTAGATAAGAATGCCCGAGAAACCACACAGTGACCGAGGTTGAGCCAAGTACGGCTGGTAAGCCTCTGTGTCCATCAACAAGCGCGGTCCATTTCAGGCATCGACATGAGAAACGTTCAGGGTTCAGTACCCAGCCAATCACAGTTATGAAATCTCCTTCTAGAATACAAAACAAACTTACACGTTGTTTCCCGCACTGGGTACGGGTACACTACCCTGCAGACTACGGTGCGGCATGAACTACGGCTACCGTACACGAAACTGTAGTCTACCTTCGTTTAGGTCTGTGGACATTGGACGCCTTATGGTAGGGCTTTTAGCAGCTCGTGCACAAGCCTCCCGCATGACTCGAGTCACAAAAAGGAGAGGTCAAGCCCATCTTCCCATGCAATTCACCGTGCGTGGGTGCACGTGGCAAAGTCATGCCCATTCACAGTTCATGTCTTGGATGTCTTGCATAATAGCCAGCACGAAGCCGTAAATTGATTTGTCCAAACGTTAACCATACCTAGGTAGTTTGACATTATCTTGTAATCCGTACCCAAAAGCCGGTGGTATTTTACACCCAACGCCATGACGCCTAAACCCCCAAACTCTGCCAAAAACAAACGTCATAAGAGGAATTGTGGCCGTTGCCCGGCCAGCGACATCCGCTTCTCCTTGCTTAACCGGTCCACCTCGCGCGCCAGCAGCTGGTTTTTCCTCTCGAGATTCAGCATCGTCTGCCTCGCGAGCTGCAGCACCGTCGACTTGCTCAGTGTGCGGTCCTTGTCTCCGTCCACGTCACCCTCGCCGACCTCGGCCAGCGTCGCGATCATCAGTTCAAACTGCTGGTTCAACCGGTTCCGGTACTTCTTCTCCACCAGGTTGTGGCGGCTCATACGGTCCGAGTCCACCGACTCCTTGCGCGGCTTCGCCTTTGCCTTCTTGACGCCGCCACTGCTCCGAAGTCTCTTGAGAGCCGTCTTGCCGCTAGTGTTGCTGGCTGGACTAGAGCAAGAGTCGCCGTCGGTGGCTACGCTGTCATGGTGCAGCTCTGGCGGGCTTGAGCAGCCCCATGTCTCGGGGCTTGGTGTGTCGTGTAGGGCGCCGGCTGTGCCGATGGACGCTTGCGGAAGGGTGAACCACGGGCTTGCATCGTCGCCGTCTTGGCAGAGTTCAACGGGAGATGCACAGGTGCCAAGCGAGTAATCGCTATCAGACGAGTCGATGGCTGGTGGGAGATAAAAGCACGTCTCCCCCAGGTTGCAGAAGCCGTCAAGTGTGTTGTCTAGTGAACGATCAAACTGGATTTTGTTAGCACTGCTTCATCTCATAAAATTGCCGAGACTTACCACAGACACGACATCGGTGTCATTCCACCAGGCTGCCGACCACGAGTTGTTGTCTTGGGAGTCCATGTTGAGTTGTTGTGGAGTTGCTGGTTATCGGGATGATTTCTGAGCTAAAGGGCGAAGAAATGGCTGATGGTGGCGAATTGGATGGATCACGAACTGAGAGGAATGGCCGGCTTGCTATATAGACATTTCCGTCCATTTTGCAAAGATGGCCATGCTGTGGGAATCGAGATCTTTGATCAGGTTTCCGATGCAGCCAAGCAACCCGGTTCCGGGACTCCTCGGGTCGAGCACCGAGGATCCCGCCGACCCAATCGGCGTGCGACCATGAGGCCTTTTTTT